CACATTAACTAGACAGTCATTGCCTTTGTAATCACCACATCTTATTTCATAAATTGCACTGTGTATTTGAACTCGATTTACTATGAAAATGAGCAGAGAAGAGCGCTACAGCGTGAGAGAAAATACGCGTTTGTGTGTGAAAGTAGAGAGTAATCGCACGTTGCCACATATACAAGTTGATACGTAGTGTGAGTGAATTAGAATAAGTATTCCAAATAATAAAGCAAAATCAACACAAACTAATAAATATGTACGAAATTACGAATTACGAATATGAACAACGAAATTACAAATCAACTGAGGTACGAAGAACGAGCCGAAGATGTGGCCAAATTAAAATGCGAGAGTTCCTTCGTTGTCATTGTACAGTGGGCTGATAAAAGAAATGTTATAAGATGTGTCTATGGAGTTTCTTTAGGGAGACTGTCTTATTGACGTAAGAAAATAATAGTCTTATATGTTTAAATTTAAATTTGACACATAATAAGAAATAAAATAAAATATTATATTTAAGCTGCTTGGACCTGATAAGGCCCAGAAAAAAATCTATTATACGCAGTTTCAGCAATGAATTTTAAATTTATCATGCCCGGGAAACCAATCAATTTTAATTTTTGTTCCGAAAATTTTTCATTTTAAATTTTAACAGTGAATTTTAAAACTGATTGGTGCAACCGGGCATCAGACTGTTAAAAATTTATTGTTAAAAACGGAAATTGATCTTTTAAATTAAAATTACATTTTCTAAATAGAGAATTAAACCAGCATTGTAGTGATATGGAACTATGAGCTGTGTGAGCTTTACGACGACATGGACATAGTGCAGCGAATTAAAATACAGCAACTTCGTTCAACTCGGAACCCGCTGGTGGAAGAGGGTGGCCCCCACTGCGATGGAAAGAATAGGTGGAGAAGGATTTGGCTTTACTTGGCATTTCCAATTGGCGCCAGTTGACACTGAAAAGAAACGACTGGCGTGCTTCGTTGAATTAGGCCAAAATCACTTAGGCGGTTACAGCGCCAAATAAGAAGAAGAAGAGAAGTAGTGATATTTTAATTTTCGAGCAACGGTTGTGACAACACGAATTTCTATGAGCAACAATGCTACACATGAGGCAACGGTCGAAGCAACATGCCCTGGTTGCCTCAACAGTTGCCTCGTACGTAGTCAGCATAACATATTGTGTTAGCGCCAATCTACCATTATTACTAATAACACTCAGACAGAAAACTATTTGACCTGAGAATGCAAAAAGATTTAGATGTTTTACCATGATACAAAAAAGAAGGTAGTTTAACAAACAACTTTTTACGGATAATAACATTTTTTGAAGTTTCATAAATTGTGAGTATTATCAACAGCCTTGCCACTTTGATAATATTTAAACAATAAATCCGAGTATTTTCCTTCCCATTTTTATACCAATGTAATAGCATTTCACATCAAAAACCATTATCAGTGCTTGGTACTTTTTTTACTAACGTGGTTCACACCTTCTTTATTTAAAATGGAAACTGTTAAAGGAGGTAATTGTTCTTTTTATTTTATAATAACCATTATTTTATAATAAAAACGAACTTTTTAAAATATTTTGGACCAAATTTGCATTTAAATGTTTCATCAGATTTTGCAAAAAATATGGCTTGTGGTTAACGTATCACCATTGGCGTCAACAAATTTTGAATTTAAAATTTTCTATGTATGCAAAAAACTTAAACAAGGATTGTACAGACCGCCCTCCGATAAACAGCTGACATAATAAGAATAAATATAATTTTGATCATTTTCTTCACGCGTTCTGAAACCTTGTTTCGGCAACACCATTTTGGAAATTATTTCAAATTTTCAAGTCCATCATATTCTACATCTTTGAGTGGACTGATGAAATCTTCTGCTTTGGTAGCATGAATTTTATGAAATTTCATAATTTTATTAAAATTCAAATGGTTTACAATAACAACGAATGCTATTAAATGGAACTGCCTCTAAGTCTAAGTCTTTCATCCAGAGTAAAAGTATGTTTAAATATAAATATAATCTTAATCATAGCTCGTTTTATAATAACCCATTTTACTCAGACGAATCACAGATTTACTTAATATGTGTTTAAATATATGTACCTTTAAAAACCTCTTTCCTTTCCTATTTTTGTTTATTTTTGCATTTGGCGTTTCTCCTCTTTTTCACAAAAATAATCGATAAAACTAGATTGGACCCCAAAAGTTGCCGGTTTAATCTGAGATTATTTTATAATAACAGTTTAACGAGCGGCAAATTTTCTATGGCTAATCTCTTTTTCTAGTTACAGACTAGGTAATTAAACACGAAAATGAGGATAATCTACTTATATGTAAACCAAGTATAAGAATCATTCCGCTCAAAGCCAATGACCTCGAAACTGTTGGGCAGTGTTATTCGCAGCCTCTTTTAGCTGTTACTCATGCCATTTTATTTTCTGCACTGGAGTTTTTACGACCAAGACAACAGTTATTTCACTTTATATGAAAATTATATTTATCCAGTGTTTGGCATGCCGCACACCACTGTGCTTGCTTTATAAACAGTTTCTTAGCACTTTTTTATTCATTGCTTTGTTGCTGCCGTTAAAGTGACTTACAAACGCTGTTCTACAGCTTCGACGTTGGCTGCTGTTGCTGCCGTTACAGTTTCCCCACTCAATTTGTTGCTTGCTTAATGCCTTCTGCGCTCTCTTTTAGTGCGACGTTAGTATGAGGTGCTCATTTAGCGGCATGCTCACCGGCTACATTTCTTATGCCAGCTCACGTTGCTGTTGAGCGGAAGGCAACAAATGTGAGTGTGTGTGTGTGTGTGCGAATGTGCGTTTTAGGGTAAATGACGCTGTATGCGTTCGCATGTGGATGGTTGTTTGTGTATGTGTGTGTGAAATTGATTTTATTAGTTTTTGGTTTTTGTGTTGAGTTGATGTTGAATTTAAAAAATTTTTGAATTGCGCGCCCTTAGTCATTGACTAAACGTGCAAGTGGCAGGCAGCAGCGTTCACAATCAGCGGCTAATCGGCAATATTCTACATTTTACACTAGTAGTAAGTACTCTACCCGTTTCTAGTACACATAACTAATAACAACAAACAAACAACAGTGGCAAGAACATTTAGCAGCATTGCGGTGGCAGCGTTGAACGAATGTATGTATTTACTAGGGAATTGACAGCAGTTGCGGCATTTGTGCTGGCTGAGCGAGATAATACGAATATGTTCGTTGGTGTTAAAACATTAGCAAGCATTTGCATTTGATTTTCGGAATTGGTTGGACGTTTGATTTTTTGCTTGCGTTTTAATTTGTGTTGCTGTGTTTTTGGCATTGTTTTGCTTTTTCTTGGATTTGTTTTTCCGGCGGTTGCATTGGAATTATTGGGAAGTGAATTGCTAACGGCGAACACACTCATATACGGTCTTCGGGTGGTAACAGTTCGTTGGCGCCTCCTACTGCTAGAATTTGTGGAGTCGAATTAATGAACTAAACGGAGTTAACGGTAAAGGAATTTAGTGATGTGAATTAATTACCGACATGTGGAAATGAATCAACAACAAATAATGCATTGAAAAATATACAGTCAGGAAAATTTTAAAATAACAGTTAAAATTTGTGCTCGTGCTTTAAATCGCAATAAATAATCCATTGAAGAAAACTCTGAAGTTGAAAAACTGGTCGAAAGGATTCTCAAATTTCTAAATTTCATATTAAAACAGATGGAAAAAGAATAAAAAGCAAAAAACCAACAATAATACTTTAAAAAAAAGTGCAGTGGATACTCAAAATTTATGATTCAATAAATAATATATTTTCAAATCGTAAAAAAGTTATGTGCTACAGAGTAATTAACTGTAAATTCCTTTAAAAGCATTTAAAAATCAATGCGAAAGAAGAAAAGCTTGAAGCTTTACGAAAAAATTAACCAAGTGGTACTTTAAAAAGATATCTTAAAAATAAACAAATTAAACCTTAGTACTCAAAAAAAGAGTATGGAGACAAATTTACTAGTGATTTAAAAAGATTAAATTTGAACTAGTGCATCTGCGTGATCCTTGACTGCTTCTGCCTCTACATTCAAAACATAGTGCCAGCGAGTAAAAGAAACCCACTTTCACTACCATATACCCTACCATTGCCATTAACCATTCAGGGTCTCAAAACAGTAATAACAAAAAAAAAAATCACCTACAAAAACAACTTTGCGCAAACTGTATTTACTTACAAGTAAACAACTTTAGAATCGAAAATAAAATTTAAAATTCAATAGAAATTAACTAGACATGCTGTGCATTTTGTGCGGCATAAACAAATAAAAACATTTGTCTGCGATTTGTTAATTAATAAAAACGTATAGAGAAAAAAGTGCGTAAATTTGTGAAACTTTGAAAAAATCGACTAACTTGCATTTGTGAACCTTTCTGTGGTAAACCACAACAAGCTGCCAGCCTCAATCAATCTGTGCTTCTAAAGCTTTCAAGGATTAGCATCCTCTTCGTTTCACCATTTTGTACGCGGCACTCGCAAAAAACGGATTAAAAGTGGAAGACATCACGGCGAAAATGGTAAGTTCACTACAAAACTTTACACCTAAAAAAAATACGTTAGATCAGTCATGCCCAACGCCGACAGAACTCCATAAGCATGTGCCCTGCGCTGGGCATGCCTCCTTTAGATTCATTTCACTTAATCAAATGCCTTATGCGCTTAACTAGGCAGGTATGTATGTACTGTGTATTGAAAAATTAGTCTAATTCGATTGTAGGTACGAAAATTAGATATAAAACGCATAATCACACGGATTAATTTTCATTCATACACATACAGAGCAACACAAAAAAAAAAAACGACGTAAATAAAATTTGATTGCAAATGCTCGTACATGTAAAAAAGTTCAAAGAAAATTCAAACATTTAAATATAAAAATGGAAAAATACTTTAACTTTCAAAAGCTAAAACACTGGTTCCTACGATTTAATAATTTTAGTTTGTTCCAAGTTTGTTCAGTAGGTATTAAAAAATGATAAAAAAAACACTGGGAGACAGTAAATTTCAGTAATTTAAGGTATAGAAACAAATACAGTGCCGGACAAAAGTATTGTTGGCACAGAGAATTTTTTCGCAATATTTTTATTCTGGTAATTTGTTTTCGATAATTTTTTATAAAGATATAGTCCATCCTACACCAAAAAACATTAAAACTTAATTTCTAAACTTTGTGCGAAACTCAGGAAAATTCAATAAATTTGCATACTAATTTGCAACTTTGTATTTAAAAAAAATTCCTAAGTATGCAGTTTTATAGCCCATCATTTTGTGTTGAATATATTGAATAAGAGAAATTATTCTCATTCCATTAAACGAAATTGTTTTTAATGATTTTATATCATTTATATAGAAAAATTATATTTCCCATGTAAAATATTTGGAAAACTTCAATGCGCCGGCGGCATGGTTAAATATTAGGAGATTTCAAAAAAAAAAAGGTTCTTATTTTCGATGTATGTATGTATGTTTGTATTTTAGTTCTGGGGAGGTGAACTTAATAAAAATGTTGTACTAATATACATACATATGTACATATTTTGTAAGTCTTTGAATTTCGCGAGCATAGTGTCCACAAACTTTCTTATCCGATGAAGGGATTGGATACCGACATATAAAACTTTTAATGGAATTTGAGAATAAATTTCATTAGATATGTATACTTAGAGGCTATTTTGGTTTTGGTTCATTCGCTAGGAATGTGAGGTGCACACTATTGGACAGCGGTGGTCAAAAGCAATTCATATTAGCGTAAAATATGCCATCTGGTTCCCACGATTTTTAAGTTTGAAAGACTTTAATCGACCAGAGAGTGGGTAGAAAGTTTGACCGAAAACATACAACATTTACAATGGGCTCCTCGGTGTATCCTGGGAAGTGAAAAAGTGGCCATTAACCATATACACTATGTATGTAATTTGGAGCAACTGGGTTTTCCTGTAGAACCTTTCTTAATCGATTTCGCTCTGGAAGATTTCATAAAAGCTTTAAAGCTCTCTTATAATCCTGCCAAGATTGACTGATTGATTGATAGGCTGAAAAGCTTACTACTGTTGCGTCTTTAAGTGGAAATCTCCGGCTACCATCACTGAAGTCTGGACAGGAAGCTTTATAATCAAAGTCACAGGCCATAGTTACAAAGTTAACTTTTTTATGGAGTTTTCACGATTAGGCGAGTACATCGAAATTAACATACATATCGTCGTAACTGACATTTGCTGCCAAAAATTGGATATGCTCACACAACATTCCAAAATCTATTTCAGAGTTTATTTTTTCTAAATTACGGCTCCGCATGAGGGCATAGGACCTCTACAAAGCACTTTCACCGAAATCGGTTCAATAATGAAGAGTAGGGTTATTGATTTCCGTAAATTGGAAAAAGTCAAAATTTGCATGACAAACGTTTTCAAGTTTCCAGTTCTCCAATTTTACTCTATTAACAGAGACGCTAAATTTAAAACTACACGTAAATGAATATCGCGGCATACATTTTTTTTAAAAATTGTTGATCGGTGTAATCAAAGGGTACAGTGCGAATCAGGGTAAAATTTCAGTCAAAATATTTGTTAAGACATATTTTTTCTTAGTTTCTTGATGAAAAAAGCAAAAAAGCAACTGCGTAGTGTATGTACATTAGACTGCATCACCAAAAAAAGTTGCGGTTTTTCCGCCGGGATTACAAAATTTATTATATTTTAAGACGTCCACCAAAATATTTCGGGAAAATATTAAGATTTAAGCGAGCTGGACCGATTTGAAAATACTTCCAAAAATGGAGTTTTTTATGAATAAAAACAGTTTCTTAAAGAACTTTTTGAAAACGGTCCCCTCAGATGACAAATTAAATTAAGCTTAAAAAATCGGCATAAAAATATTTAAAAATCTTTTCAACGGAATCGTAAGAATAACATTTTTGATGCTGTTTTTTTTACTTTTTTCAAAGATTGATTTACGAAAAACTTGAATAACTGAGCCAAAACTATTCTGATTTAGACTTATAGGAACTCGGTGGAAAGGTATTTTCCCACTGTTTTTATTTCTGGCCAAAAAAACGTCCCATCTTGTTTTTTCGAATACCAACACATCTTAATACAACTTTGAATGAATCGGTCCAGCTCACTTAAATCTTATTATTTTTCCGAAATATTTTGGTGGACCTCTTAAAATATAATAGATTTTATAATTCCAATGGAAAAATAGTACCGATTTTTTTTTTTTGTATGGGGAGTGATGCAGTCTAATGTACATAAATGTATGCGTGTACGGCCATTGAAGAATCCCCTGTACTTTGCTTCTTTTTTCGCTCATTTATTTAGTGTATCATTTCATTCCGTTTATTTATTTCTCAAGAATTAGTTTCTCTTTCTGACTAACTTTTATGACGTTCATAGGTTTATCTTAAATAATATTTGTATTACATTTGAACTTAGATATGTACTTCAATTAAGCAAATAATAAATGAATGAATGACTCAAAATCGAGAGCAATTGCTTTACCATTGCGGGCGTATTTGCATTGCACACACACACAAATGCACTTCCAAAGATACATACATACATATGTACATAACTATGCACACAAATTCCAGCTACCGGCATCTGTCTTATACGCTTAATTCCGCTCCTATTTATCAGCTTGATGTCAATGTATTTAGTTAGTAATCAAATTAGTCACCCATTAGTGCGCGGAGTGCCATCGTTTTGTATGTAAAAATATCTACATAAGTACATATGTATATTGGTATTTGTATAGATATTGTGTTGACTTTTGTAATGCGGGTGTGAACTCCTCTGCGCTTAGTAAGTGCTTTTAATTAATGACTATGATGGCTAATAATTTCCGCTTAGTCGCTTTACATACTTACGTACAGATGTCAAGACAAATGTACAAACATTTGCATGCATACATATGTACTCATGTACATATGTACATACGTACATGTGTATAACTTAAAATTGATATTTTTTTCTATATTAGCCGACGGTGATGCAACTAAAAGTGAAGACAAATTTAATTAGAAACAAATTTCTTTTGTTCGCAACTCAATTATTCTGGCAAGAGACAGATTTACAAAAGTAAGACTTTTAGTTCGCTGCTGGCGATTAAGAAGAACTTTAAGAGTATTTTAAAGTACTTTTAATTTATCGTTAAAATAAAGGTAGATGATACAAAATTTTTTATTTTTTTTTAAGGATTTGCGTTAATAAAACTGGCCGACGACGACAGTGGTTTTGGCGCAGAGGACCTATAATTCTTACAAAAAAAAAAAAAATGTTATTTCCTACGTGTAGTTTTCTATATATATTTTACAGACAAATACAAATTTGCATTAAAATTGCATTTATTGCGTGAAATATGTACGTGAACATTATTTTTCACGATTTTATGAGTGAGATGCAGTGGCACAATCACATTGAATCCTCTACGACGATTCGATCGGCCCTTGGTAACTCTCTTCCATAGGTCAAACAGTGAAACCGTTCCCCTTGTTCTTCCCAATAGGATCGAAAATTCTCTGAAAATATGTCAAGATGGCGGCGGGATATGAATTCTTTATGAACATATTACATCCTAAGCTTTTTAAGTTCTCCAGCATGTCTGTTACGATTTGACTGTATTTTAGCAATAAGTTTTCTAAAAATTATAGGAATATTTTTTATTGTTTTTAACATTAAAAAAAAACAAATTACCTGAAAATTTAATTAAAAGAAAATAATTTAATTAAAAAAAGAAAAAAACTATTAAAATAAGTTTTTAAAAGGTAAAAAAATTAAGAAATTTTTCGTTTAGAACCATAACATCAATAAAAAAAAATAAATAAACAAAAAATATGTTCCTTAAAATTAAATTAATTCTAAAATTATTTTTCGTGTAAAACCATGACATCAATAGAAAACTAAATAATAAAACCAAAAATAAAGTTCCTTAAAATTAAATTAAATAAATTCCCTTTTAAAAAAATATCTATAAAATAAGTTCCTAAAAGTTTAACTAAACAAAAAAAATCTTATTAGAGCAATAAAGAAGGAAAAAGATTTCCAAAAATTTTAGGAAATCAAAAAAATAATATTTTTTTTTAATGATATCTTCTAAAAATTTTATAAAAAATTAAACTTCTATATAATATATATCTAATAAATCATTAAATTCTTCTTTGGTGAAAGGGTTCGGCTATGTAGACGCTATTCCTTGGAGATCAGTGTCACTGCTCACTGCATTGAAGATTTTTTTGAAGGTCAGGCCACGAATAAAATAAAATGTTGGAATAGTTAGCTTCTCTAAATGTGGTAAGGGTCTCTTAG